CCACGGGTGAGAGGCTGCTGCATCCCATAGTATCCCTTGACCATAGTCATGCCCCTTCTCTCTTCTGCTTGCCTGTCTGGGGAATACAGAAATGATAGATGATAGTATCTACCTCTGGGTTGCTGAAAGGATAAAATGAGATAACCGCTGTACATGCTGGTGACTCATCTAGAATAAATGCAGAATAAATGCTGCTCTTGTTTATAATAGAACCAGTGAGGTAATTACAAATTCTCCTTGCCTGTTCGTTCTTGCAGGCATTTTATTGACATTTTACTTGCCATAGTTTGTTTCTGTATATGTGTAAAGACAATAAGACAATTATGCTATAAATTGCACCATTAATTCACTCCAACTAGACTTCCCTCAAATTTATACTAATTAGTGATGTTTACTTGTAATTTCAATAGAAGTTAGAGTGATGTTTGCTTTGCAATACCACTGGCAGGGAAAAAAATCAGTTTTTGTTTTTTTAAAGAATAAATGGAGAAAGCTCATATAAAGTGAAGATGAAATAATGACTTCAAGCATTTATTCAATCATGTTGCATGCTACTTCTTAGCAATAAAAATTTCATTTACTATGCGTGCCAGGTAGAAGGAAGACTGGCCTGGTGCACCAAATAAGGATAAGGAAAGACAGAAAACTCAGTCTTGTCACTCTCGTGGAGTGCCATGCTCGTTAAAAGTAAATACATTTAAAAAATGAATCTCGAATCTGTTTCCAAAATGTTCAATAATTTGAGTCTACCCTAACAAACATAGGACACGTCAATCATCTATTTAAACTGTTTAAGCAAGAAAGCTCAATTTGGGAGGCATGGGGGAGTTGGCTGTTTGTTTATTGGCAACATGGTTTATTATTTTCAAAAATCATTGGTGTTCTATCCATTCTAGCGGTGAAATGATCCAAAAGGCTCCCCTTGCACAGAAATCCGGATTTTCCAAACGTGCCAACCACAAGAGTCACCTGTTTAGACATACTTTCCCAGACAGCTCGAGGAAATCAGCATGCAGAGTAAGTGGCTCTAGTCATCAGACAAGTTTGGGCAACACTTCCCTGCAGCGGTTCTCAGCCCTGACCTGTACTGGAGTCTCCTGGAGAAGAGAAAAAGCAGCCGCAGGAGCAACAGATGCCCAGCCCCCTTCCCAGACAAAGTAAATCAGCCTCTCTGGAGTTGGCCTGGCCGCTGATGAAAATTTTTCAAAAGCTACCCTGATGACGCTAACCATCTCAGACCCCGTCCAGAGGTCCCCTCCAAGGCAACCTGCATCACAACAAGAGCTTCGTCGAAGGTTGACAAGGCTCTTCTAGTGCCTCTCAACAGAACACATACCTTTCCACCCCAGGGAGGATAGATGTTTGCTCCCCTCTCTCTCTTCCCGTCACACCACCACCAACAAAAGCAACTCACAATCTTGTCAGAGGTCTTTTTCTTTATATTCTTGGCCATTGGAAGCCAAGTGAAGAGGGACAGGGTGAGGTAAACCTATCCATTCCAAAATCATTCATTAAAGTATGTTAAATAGTGTCACACTGCTCTTACCCAATCAAATGCCCCGGAAAACTTGAATTGGCAGTTTCATGTCCCATAATCAAAAACATGAAGGATCACTAGCATTCGCGTCCATGAATTCATTTAGACAGTTTTCTTTAATTAACGATGAAGACACTACAGTTCTAAGTACCAGACAGAATCGGGGCGGGGGGGAAACTGAAAATAAGCATAACACTATAAAGAAAACTTGGAAAAAGTGAATCTAAATAAAAATATATACCTGGCCTGGTATCCATTACATATATACATAATACATATGTTATACACATATATACAATAAATGTTTTGGTAGCAATACAGACCATGCATTGGTCCTTTTGAACACAGATGAAGTAGCACCGTGAGCAGCACCACCCTCTTAAGATGATAAACCAAACTGCACATACATTAAACGAAAAAATATATACGTATTTAATTTGGCCCGCCCTGTAGCCAAGACATGTAAGGAAAGAACCTTGGAAGAAAAATGGTTCCGGGAACTACATTCTTAAGCCAATAGCAAAGTTCTAAAAAGAAAAAAAAAAAAGCACTAAAGATGTCTATACAGATACAGACAAGTTTTCCTGTGTACTGAATTTGTCCTATCATGTGGCATATTGGTTAACACTGGGGAAATTAACAACAAAAACAAAGGGAGAGATTTAAATGCCAGGTGAATAGCCAAAGTCTATAATACCAGATCTCTTGGTGTACACATCACAGATGCCATCATCAATGAACTAGGAAAGGAAGACAACTCTCCAGCTATGCCCTATGTTTTTCTAATCGTATTAGCTAATTCTAAGCTCTTGATTACTGATAAATTTCATTAAGAGTAGGGTTAAACACCTCCAACATCATTCCACCACTTCCCAGTACCTAATTTGATGCTCTGGTTACAAGTAGGGAAGGAATCCAGTATGCCATCTGACCCACACCTTCTCTATCCATCCTTAGGAGACTGATTTACAGAGCTATAGAAGGACCCCCATGATCTTCTCTGACTTGGCTTTGGAAATGACCAACGGCACCAAGTGTTTAACCCCTTGATGGTCTACTGACCACAAGGCTCTATTTGCCCTCCATGACTAAGCTCACAGAGTGGAGGTCGTTCTCTTACATCTGGCAAGGTCATATTTCCTCACATCCCTAGAAGTGTATGCTTCTTCCTTTCCAGTTTCTCAGCAGCCTATATAAATGCAGCATTCATACTGCAACTAACATACATGAGGTCCTAGGAACACTTACTCCCCTGTCAAGTCCTTGCAAAGGAGCAAGTTTCTATCTGGTCTCTATCCATTCTCCTTCCCATGCCTTCCAGAGGGTCCTGTCTCTCCCCAGCCAAGGTCTTAATTCCTGCAGCGTTTCTGGTTTCCATGCCTCCTTGTGTGACGGACTGACCTACAGAGCCCTGACAAAGCAGTTGGAACGTTGCACATTAATCTCATTTTTCGTGGTTCTGTTATCAGTGGATGATGAGCTCCCCTCCCCCATTTTGAAACCATCTGCAGTGAGTAAAAATGAAAGTTTTCAACTACACGGCGTATTGCATTCAGGATGCAAGATTGAACAAAACAGGGCCTCAGTATTGTCAAATACTCTTTCTTATAGTTTAGAAAAGCTGTTTAATACTTCAAATGTCTCAGATTTAAAAGACAGCTAGGAGGCAAGCGTCAGCGAAAGAAAAGTTAAAAATCTCTACTTCTGGCTAGATGATTTTTAGAAAATCCATTTTTGCAGTCAACGTAGATTAGTCAAGAGAGTCCCTGACCTTTGAAAGTTAGCAAGAAACAGCCACAAATGTAACATCAGTACTGAATTGTCATTATTGACTCAGGTGGTTGATCATTAATGGATTCTCTTCACTTTTAGCTGGTTCTAGGACTTTTATTTTCTTTTGCTCAGAATAAAGATATCATCAAAGTCATGGAACATATTTGTTCTTTCCACAAAGGAGAATTTTAAAACTCTGCCTAAGTCTCTAAGGAAGAACACTGTAAAAGGTTGGTCTCATGAAGAAAAGCCACTAACTTACAGGTTAACCAGAGGCCACTAGAAGTCCCATTCATGTAAGCCTTTGGCTGGCCTACAAATACTTTGAAATGGATAAAAGCCAAGTCTCCTGAATAGGAACTGAACACAAGGACTTAGCAGCTAAAGGTCAACCCCTCATGTAGACAGAGCAAGAGTTTTTGCCTCAAATACCAGCAACTTCCAGTTTTTTAAATGGGCGAAGTTTGATACCACCAGAAAACCCAGCTCAGGGACCACTAGAAGCAGCTTAAATAAGAATGCCTACCTTGATACTGTTTGACTCAACAAAACGTCAGTGAAACAGAAACCAAGAGATGGCTTTTTCCAGTCTGGTTCATTTCTTGTTCTCACCCAGAATATGTTGATAACCCCACATGCAGAGGTATCTTGGTAATACATATTCAAAGTTCAGGTTCCTTGAGAAATAATAACTACCTTTACAGGAAAATGGGTGGGGCTGACTTTGTTCATTGATTTCTCTTTAATTACTTATGTCTTCAACGGAAGAGAGTGGACAGCTTGTCTCCTTCCTACACAAGCAAGAGTATGAGTCAACATACTTGAAAAATGAAAGTTAGACTAAGAAAGTCTTTTTTATAAAGAGTAAAAAAAACAACAAAAAACTTTCATATCAAATTTTTTAAATCGGTAGTGTTCTCTCCTAATAGGAAGTGATGTCACTCAGTGAGTTCCTTGGAAACAATGGATTCTTATGACTACAGACCTATTTATCTTAGAAATTGATGAGCATGCAAACGATTAGAATCTGCAACAATGAACATTGTACAAGAGTCTGTGAGGTACATGCCATTCGTCTGAGTTAACAGTAACACAGGCCTCAGCAGCGTGAGGGGTTCCATTGATCTCCACTCCCTTTTGAGTAGAGCAGGGGGTACCTGACCCATTGATGAGCAGCCACTGCAATGGCCCCCAACCCTGGCCCCTTCCTGGCAGCCCCTCTCCCACCCAGGGAGATCAACCCTTCAGTGAAAGAAAATGTTGCTCCTCTCAATAGCGGGGCCGGGACCTCCTGATGGAGAGTTTACATGGACTCCGGGGGAGTCTGATACTAGCCTTAATTCACTGAACCTTTAGGAAGTTTCCTGGTCGAAGATTCAAAACTCTGTAGGCAATTTCTTGAAGTACGTCCATTGCCATTTCTTTTTCACAAGGAAAAATTCCAAGATGTGTGTACTTTCCAAACAAGAAAAGGATTAACATTTTCACTGCTGGCTAGATGTTTCCATAGCAGGTCATTATGCTTTGATGTGCTCTCTGTGCCCTGGGTTTTATTAACTAATCACGCATAGGCCAGTAGCCACCAGGGCAAATGGACCAAATTACATTCAGTTAAATAATGTAACACTGGACATTCTCAGAAAACATGAGATAAGAGTCTTAAGGAAAGTGACATGTAGCCCTGGTCATGATAAAAAAACACGTTCTGGAATTTTAATTTCTGGTTAGAAATGAAAGAAAAGTATTCACTTGTCTTACATCTTTCTAGAGACAGTGCAGGAAATGAAAGATCCTAACGTGTGCAACAGAAAAAAAGAAATGGTGGCAATGGAACAGGAAGCTTACAGAAGTGGGGGAGGGGAGAAGAAAAGATCAACAGTCTCTAGTTTATTATGAATAGAAAGAAATTTCCAGAATTTACAAACACCCACATTGTTCATTCCAAAGAGAGCTTTTGATTTGAAGGGATCACCCATGTCGCCTCCTCTTTACAGTATATACAATGGAAGACACTGAATGCCTTTTCTTGTAATTTTGCTTCCATTCAATTGCCAATTTTAAGCTGACACTTGAAAATACCCAGTAGAATATATCCTTCTTCAGTTTAATTAACATGGCCTATTGCCTTACAGAAAAAAAAAATACGAAATTAAGATCAGCTCTTGAAAGGATCTCAGCTCAACATCAGGGCTATATTACAAGAGATAGTATCAGCAAATAGAACTATACAGTTGAGAACCATCTATGGCACTATGATTCTTATTATATTACTTTTCTGAATTACAATCTTAAAACAAGGATCGTACCCTATTCTACTCTTGTTAGCCTTGTTTTAAGCATTTGCTCCACTCTTTACAACAGAACATTGTATACCTCAGTTCCACATCCCAAAAAAAGATGTGCTGTAAGAAAAGTTACATTTTAATTTAAAAAATTACACTTATAAATCAAAAACCTATGTTAAATATTTAATACTCTCTCCACCCAAAGCAAACAGTTCCGTATGAAATAATTTACAATGATGCTCTGTCGTACACGGTTTCAGCAGCAGATGAAATGTGTCTTGTAAATGCAATGAGCATAAACCCATTCTCTTGTGGCACGGTGGGGGGCACATCAGCTCATGTGGCCAGCTAAGTCCTTAAGGTCGAAGATGAAGTTTATGCAGACTCATTGTTCTGGTGTCACAGTGCTTTTTTCTTGGCACGATATAGAACGTGCAGTTCAGTCAACAAACTCCTGAGGATTGTGTAAAGTAAACAAACTGAAATGGGTGCATCGTACCATCTACTGAGGAGGAAGATGTGAGGTCCTGGTTGTGAACCATGAAATATTTAGAGTCTGGGTACCCATGAGTTAAAGGAGGATTTGCTGAGGTCATTTAGGTCTTCATTCTGAAAAGGAAAACGAAAGAATTCGTCACCACGGGCATCTCAAAACGCACGTTTGATAGCTTTTTAGGGTTCTTCTTTTAAAAGGGGCAGCACCTTTTAAAAGGGGCAGCTTCAGATAAACTGAAGCTACAGGCACAAGCAGTACTGAGTACTTCAGTACAATCAACAAACTGTACTTAACTTTCTTTCAAAATGCAAGAGTCTAAAGCAATCACAAACTCAAAATAGTCAATATTAAGTCAGTAAACCAATCGATGTGATTTGGAGGTTTCAGAAGTTTAGCAATACAAAACACTTTGATGTTCTTATGATCAAAACAAAAATGTCCACTGCAGCTTTTGTGTAAAACAACTACAAAATATGGTAAGCAGGTTACAGTCAGGCTAGGCTTAATCTTCTTTTGGTTAAAAGTCAACTACAGACTTTAGAATTTGAAGTTGCAGGGCTTAACATTACAAAATCTGAAATCGGTTTTTAACCTGACATTGGTTGACAGGAGAATTTTAGATGCAAAAGGAGATCCAAGCAAAAGAGACCTAGTTAATCATTAACTAAAGAAAGGGGTTCCGATTTAGGTCTAACAGAAATAAGTTATTCTGGCAGAAATACAACATTTCTTCTATGCAATTTAAAAAGTCAAACCTCAAGGGGTGCTATCCATTCCCCTCCAGAGAGGAGACACCTTTTCAACCTCATAAAGCCTCTTTTGCTCTCAAGTCTTAACATTAGATAATCCTTCTGAGGTCCCCATTTTTCATGCATCCAAAAGGTATCTATAAACATCAATATTTATAGAATGTCCTGAGCAGTAGATGGCACAGAGTAGCTAATCAATATACCTGTTGAATGAGTAAATGGTTGCATTAAGTACTGTGGAGGATACAAAGGTGAATTCTGCTATAGGCTCTGCTTTCTAGAAATTCTAGCAAGGAAGGTAAGCTTCACTTACAGATAGATGGAATGCAAAGTAGAAACAGGGTGAATACCATGATAGAGGCACATAAGCAAAAAGCTCTGGAGGTATGGAGGTGGGAAGGACACTTCTAGCTAGGAGAGTAATGGAAGCACCTCGTTGACACACTTGGCTTGGTTTGGCAGAAATGGAATAGTTTGGGGATGTGGAAACAGGGATGGTGTTTCAGTGTTGCATCTCCAGAGCCCAGCACAAGGGCTGGTACCTAGCAGGAACTCACTAAATATGAGCAGAACGAATGAAAGGGACAAGGCACACTTCCCACTGGGGCGCAGGACAAAACGAGGCCCAGTGGGATGACAGCCCAGCCCTGGACAGGCCAAGTGAGGAATGTGGTTTTGTCGGAGCACAAGATATCTGCAAAGGGGTAGGAGGAGTGACGTCTACAGACGCAGGTTGGGGTGGGTGGTGAGGAACCTTGAAGGACAGGCCAAGACGTCTTTAAATAAGTGAAGGGACCGCAAGGGCATGCTTTGTGATATGATCAACACGCAAGCAGTAATGATCCAGGTCAGCCACAAGGACAGCGATAAACTAGAAAATCCACACGAGGTAAATGTTGACCAACGTAACTTTTTCTTTTCTCTGCCTCTCCTCTTTGAAGGAGAGTATGGCTGGGACCAGCCAGCATTCACCATGTACAGAATGGCTTTCAGGGAGGTTGATATTTGCCAGATGAGGACTCAGTTTTACCAGGAGATTTCTGTTCATTTCACAGTCTTAACTCCGCCCCTAAATGACAGAGAAAGTCTATTTTTCTACTTACAAATAAAGCCTTGACATGGAGACACCAAGGTAAAAAAAACAAACAAAAAAAGCACTCCAGGCTTATCTCTTTAATTGCCAGAGAAACAGGATTTACTGTGAAAGCTACAAGTGAAAGAAAACCTGGCCTTTCAAAACTGTACTTTCAAGTTTCTCCTGAATTCATACTGCAATCTACCAAAATGTTCCTACCAGGATATCTACATACAGCTTAACACAGCTTCATACATCCCGGCCTAAAATTAAGTAGGAAGGCCATAGTTTATTACAAAGGCTTGAGACAAACAAACCAACCACCAATTGATGTAAAATGGGGGAAAAGTTAAGGATGCACAATGTGCTTTTCATTTTACATCTGGCTCTCATCCAGGACAGCTGAATGAACAGCTTAGCACAGGAACAAGTTGTGTCATCACATGTGCCAACCTGCACGGATGCAGAAGGGCAAAAATTGGGGGCCCTTCGAGGAGAGAAAAAAAAAAATAGCTTCGCCAGAAGCTGAAATCTATTGCTTTGGGCCACTCAGAAACCATCCTTGTAATTTTCCACAAGTAGTATGTTCAAAGAGCAGGAAATAAAAGAATATAACAATTCCTTCATATACCTTCCACTCCAAAATCTCGGCATACTACTTTTCAAAGCCTTTATCGTAAATCCTGATCAACATATGTCTCAGCCACTAACGCTGCCTACCAGCACCATCAACTTAGGAGCCTAGAAAAAAGTTAAAGTGGGAAAGTGGTAGGCAAGGCTGACATAGAGGAAATGGGAACAGAAGCTATAAACAGACGACAGAGGCCTGGAAAAATTTAAAGAGAGAGTCTGAAGTTCACAACTGTTTATCTTTGCGCAAGGGTGTGTGTGTGTGTGTGTGTGTGTGTGTGTATGTGTGTGTCTGTACATAAAGTTTGGCTACTGAGTAAACGACAAAGATTTTTAACAGACATCCTCAGTGAGGACTCTTCCTTCCTGCAGCCACCTTGGTGTCTGCATACTTATTCCAATCATGCAGCCATTGTTCGAAGCATTTTTGGAATGCCTTCTTCAAGTCCCATTTCTTTCTTGCAACGGCCTTCTCAGCCTTGGGCATATTCTTTTGAATGGTCTCTATAGCAGCCAGTTTGGCCGTCTGAGGGCACATTTGATCTTCGGAGACAGCCAAAAAGCTTTGAGAGCCAAATACGGTGAGTAAAAGAGCTGATTAAGCTGGATAATGGTTCGCAGCAAGGTATTATCGAAAGCCAAAGAACTCCAAACACTAAAGTTCCAAAACCATAGCTGTTTACCATTGCTGTAATGAGTTTTGTCGGAAAGGAACTCTGCTAACACTACACACAGACCTTAGCAGACGCCTCATGGGACTTCAGTTCATCTGTCTATATGCCCGCCTCTACACACTTGCAATCAAGAAGGGCTGCGCTTGAATAAAACAACTTACTTGAAGAAGGGCAACCGTGTATATTTGTTTGCATGCAATATAATCTATATTCATACATCTTTGTAACTTGGGAATACGTAAAAAAAAAAAGCAATACTAGCCTCCCACAGTCGTTAAATGCAATAAACATCTGTTGAGTGACAAATTAAAAAAATATACAATGATAAAGGCTGTAACGCACGTGCTGAAAAAGAAGACATGGGTAATGTGTGTTTAATGCACTTTATATTTACAACTCCAATCGACTCACAACGAACCATATGAGGCAAATATTGGTACGATGTTTTACAAAAACTCATTTGTAGCTCTCATAAACTGGAAACGGAAAAAGCAAAACATATCCTTGGAGAAGAGCTGTGCAAATATCAAATGGTCATGTTCCTGTTATACATTCTCTCTAGTTACATCACTGGGGAATAACTTCTGAACCCAGAAATACGATGCACCTGTCACAAGATTTAGTAGCAGGAAATTACATTTTGACAAAATTTCATCACCACATCAGCATCTACGGTCCGCATGTGTCTTCTCACAGGATAAAACCCACCTAATCCTGTTGCCAGTAATGAAAAATGTAATTTTTAAAGCATTATCAAATAAGTCAACACTTGGGCAATGCTGCTTGAGACCTATGGATTATTGCATTATTGTATCCAGCAGGAATTTACATCTTCTGGACTCGACCCACTTAAACTATGCCGGCTAGAGCTGAAAAACAAAGCTTCCGCTTCCCTTCACACTATCTCAGCCTACCGATTAGTCTCCACTGAGTAAGCAGCTGAAAACAGCATAAGGTTATAAGTACAAGAGAAGGATCCACACCCTTTCAGCAATGCATTTTTAGCCAAACCCATTGGCTAAAAGTTTTTATCTTGTATTTAAATGCCTTGAAACTTCCTGTCAATTTGTTGAGCTAAGCCCAACATAGTTAAAAATACCTGGTTAGCAAGTTACTAGCGGTTTCTGCTTTTACTAAGGAGATGGGAGTATAATATTGTAAGTTGCTTGGCTGTTGTCATGTAGGAAAATGTAGTCAGAAAGAAAGTCTTCCTTATCCAACTATGCTTGAAAAAAAAAAAAAGTAACTATAGTAATGACTTTTCTTCAATGGAGATCATTGTTTGAGATCTTATATTGTAGGTTCAACTAGAAAAATTCATATAAATAAATTCCTCCACTTGAAGAAATGTGTCAAAACTGCACATTTCTCTTTCCCTTAACATAAACAGCTGTGACTTAAAAAAAAAAAATCTTGAGCGTAATATAGAAAATTTATGAGACAGTAAATGTAAAGAAGGAATAAACATATAATTCATTATAAACATTATAATTCCTGTCACCCAAGGAACACCACTATTCAGCTATGGTTCTGATTTCATTATTTACTTAAAGGATTTGAACTTTTAGCATTCCATATTTAATGTCAAAAATATTTTAAGTTGCGAGGAAATAATGTTTTAATCACATTTAGATCTTTCCCATTCTGAAAAATCTGTGATGAGAAGATAGAATGTTAACCAACATTTTAAACCTTCTTGGTATTCTACCCTTTCCCATCCTCCCAATTCATTGTGTATGGGGAGAAGTATGACAATTTGAAAGCAGAAAGAAACCCCTCTGGCTTCCTGGGTTTGGTTTCCAAAAGCCTAAGTCCTTAAGGGAGCGGCACAGGCAAAGTATTCAGAAGAGCCAGGAGGGTGGGGGGAGACTACTCTCGGAGGAGAAAAAGGTTACCTTTGACTGGGATCAGAGGGAGAAAAAAGGTGGAAGGGATGTGAGAGCAGAGAGGTGGGTAGGGAGCTCTGCACCTTGCAGGATGCTGAA